TTATCCCGAGGGAAATTCAAGACAGTAGGCTGTTATTAAACAGTACATTGGGAAAATGTACAGGCCTTTTTTTTAGGGTTTCACACCTTATGGAAAAAGCACTGTTTTAAAACCTTTTCAGAAAAATGGCTTTGACTTCACTAATTTTGTGTTATTATAGCTGCTGTTTAGAAAAAGGCTTCACTTCAACATGTGTTAGCCCAATCCATCAATGTCTGATACTAGACTACTAGATTTAATGTGTGTCTGTTGACTTGTGAGTCTCTCCTTCTTGGAAAAACATTTCAAAAAGCTTCTATAATACGTTACAGGAGGTCAACCTGCCAAACAGATGCTTCATGATGCACTGTGAGGTTTGAAATATGGGAAGAAGCTTAATGACTGTAGTGTATTTGCTTTGCTGCTAATACAGTACATACAGTAATCAGATCATTCTAGCTGGTGTAACTTTGTTATGGCTTAAAACCACGTTGTTAAGTTTAATGCAGTTTGTTTTGTCTGAACCATTTTACACTGATGTTACTGAACCATCTTTTACACTTTTTGTTCATGTAATAATACATGGATTGTGTTTTATCACCCAACCAGTGTCTGGTTGATATACAGTTTATGGACCTTAAAATTAGCCTCATGCTGCGGCTAATGTTTTGCAGAATTGGAGTAACAGCGAGTCCGACTCTGGTTTCAGCAGATCTGTGTGTAATTTTGTCAACGGTGACGCACAATTCGTGATTTAAAAACCTTTTTTACAACAAAGTAAGGGCTGGTTCTAGTTAGGAGTCGTCTCACTGTAAGACTTTAATGCTCATAGATAGTTAAGATTTATTTATTCAGACACTCCCATTAAAATTTTGAGATTTGATAATGAATTACATGTATATGACATAACAGCAATTTAGTCACACAAAGCTATCGTCACACACGCTAATTAAATCCTTTAAATCTTAAATCATTTGTAACAGTTGTTTATGAGAAAATAGTCGGGTATATCAGCTGATAAACCTGCGATTGGACATTTGTTTTCCCAAATAGATAAAGAACATTTTGAATCTGTATATTAAACAGCATACTGTACAGATCTGCACACACAGACTGTGTTACACAATCTTGCTCTTGTGTAGTTCATCCTAGTTCATTTAGGCTACCACATGTTATTTATGGTTTTAAAAGTCACACTGCAACATGGTTTGCTCTCAGCACTTTAAAAAAAACCTCAATTTATGGTTGAAACACTCTCCTGTGGACAGTTTTTATTCATTTTCTTCTACTCTCGGGTTCAGACCTGATAACAAGGAGCTGAGATTCTTCAGTGCAGTCATTCCTCACAAACTTAATTTGACCCCGAGTATACCTGAAGAGCTGAGACAGAGTGCTTCAAGTCAAGACTTTGACATAATTATCATTTTGCTGTGGTTTTTAGGGTAATAAAATGCGGTTTGGAGAGACTGCAATAAAGACTGCAGATGGAAAGTGCACAGGCTTGGCAGTAGGATTCTTCTCTCAATTACACTCAGTTCAGGCCCAAACCAACCCAACATGCTGAGCTCTTGGGATTAAGAAGCTACTGTGGCTTTGGCATCTGATTTGGTCACATTAAGTCTGACTGTTGGACTCTCTCTCTTCTAAGCTAATAGCTCTAAATCGGATGCTTATATATATATATATATATACTTCAGGGGTTATCAACTTCCACAGGGATATATGTGAGGTCCAAGATCTGACATTTATTTACAGATACTCAAAGACTGGCCAGAGTGCTAAATGTGCCCGGTGAAAGATTTGTGAGTGACCCTTGAAATCGTTCCTGTAGGAAATAAATTCCCTTGGCAGCCTTAAGTAAAGAAACATTCAGTAGAAAAAGTGCAGCAGGGTGTGCTGGTTTAGGATCCACTGCATAAATCATTGAAGTATGTATGGACTTTCCTCTAACTTATGAATTCTCTCATGTTGTTTTTCTGTTGTCCTCGGTTGACTCTTTTGGTTGACATCCTTATCGGTTACAGGTGAACCATAAAAAACAGCAGATACGGTTGAACAGACGTATTGTGTCGTTTCCCAATCTGGGGCAAAAGGAAAATTTTTCTGAGTGCATGTTAAACTAGAAGTGAGGGAACAATGGAAGAATGCTTAACCTTTTCTGTGTAGGAGGTTTGAAAGCGCCGTAATAGAGAAGCCATTGTGCTTTGAAACCAAACCTGTCATCAAATCCCTGAGAAGCTGTTTGACTAAACAATATTTTCCACACTGTATTAGTTCAACTGAGTTTGTGTGTTTATGTTTTAAAGCTGATTTTAAAGTCATTTTTACGTCTTTTACATCTTCAAAAGTATCATATTTTGACTTTGTGGATTATATTAAGCACTTTGATGGTTTTATTCTGTGTGCAGGTGACTCTTCTGCATGGCCGTGGTCCCACGTGTTGGCCAGACCGAACACAGAGAGAGAGGAAGCTGCTGTTCTTACTGTGTGTTGTGTCTGTGGGCCTGTTTATATCTCTCATCACAACTGGGGTCTTCTACAAGCAGAGTGAGTTCAAAGTTTTATTTAAACTCAGTGGTGACATTCGCTGAAAAGAAACACCTGCGGTCTGTGAAATAGTCTGACCACCAGACCTAAAACTCCAAATAATCATAATTTAAAACACACACAAAGAGGAGACAGGCTTAAAGGAATAGTTTGACATTAAGGGAAATGCGCCTGTTTGGCTTTTTTGTCCAGAGTTACACAAGAGTATTGATACCACTCGTTTTTTTAAATGTATGAATGTAATCAATTCTTGTGACTATATGAAAGAAGGAGGGAATTGTTTTTTGTCACTCTTTGTTTTTTGTCACTCTTTGAGAATCATTTTTTTAGCTATTATATACCATCACAAAGCTAAGTGTCCAGGTTAGAAAAAGATCTGTAGACTCTTGAGGCTGTTAAGTGCAACCTTTCTACACTGAATGTGCTTTTATCTCTTTATCTTTCCCTACAAGTGAAGAGCTACAGGGGGGCTGTGCTATTTAATGCAGTATATGTGGATTATTATTTTAAAACCAAAGCCCCACCTTCAGCTAAGCTGCCTTAAAAAACAACTCTATCTCTCCCTTGAGCTTGTTCATTATGGAAAAAGCGATTTACCATCACGTTCGGGCGGCGTCTCATCTGCGTTGATTTCCTCAAGTTTACTATGGGAAACTTAATGCCGCTTCCTCCCATTCAGAACCGCATGTCAGATCACACTTTGAAATAATAAAAGGAACAAGGATGAATTCTCCACGGGCTACTAACCCCATCACTGCTCGTAACTTTGGTTCTGTCTCTGTTTAATACCTTATAAGGACAGACGGTAAAAGTCTCTACTGTAAGTCGAGCGCTAGAGGTGAGCTGTCCCCTGGAACTGTACACTAGCACTTACACTTCTCTAAACACTTTCTTTAGTTTGTTCAGCTTCCTGTTAAACAGCTTTTGTGTTTAGACCTACAAGATGTGGTTAAAAAAAAGCCTTTGTGCTGCCCCTCTAATCGCTTCTAGTTAACAATATTTTTGAGAACACAACACACAAAATACCCATTCTCAGGAAGAAGTTGTTTTGTGAGACACACTTAGCAAGTAGCACCCATCAAGGAGCAATAAAGTTTATCTACTAGCCAGTTAAAAACAGTTTAAAAGGAAAGTGAGTCACTTAAACTTTAGTCTTTAAACCTCCAGGATCGTGAACCTTCATCAGACTATTACGTAATCGGCTGGCAATATTTAACTTTTACCTCCTACGAAGAAAAGATCATCAGCAGTCACGTTTCAGCAAATCATTTATACAATGAGGAATATTCCCTCAAGGTTGTATATCTTTTGCTGTTACCTCTTGGTGAAATAATGGTTTCCAGATGGTCTGAAGATCCACATGTATATTTGGAGGTCCTACCATGAAATATTTTCATATTATCCGCTCTGATCCTCAAAGATGTTTTGAGGATCAGATGTTTTTTTTCACCAACAGACAGGGTTTCCTGCATTAAGTGTTTTAATCTATGAATCTTCTCTACTGCAGCTCATCCGGGCTTGTGCCTAACAGAGCCATGCATCACTGTGGCCAGTACAGTCATGGAAGCTCTGGACAGATCAATAGACCCCTGCCATGACTTCTACAATTTTGCCTGTGGGGGCTGGGTGAAAAACAACCCCCTCCCCGAGGGCAAGTCCCGCTGGGGGCCTTTCAGCAACCTCTGGGAGCACAACATGCTTGTAATGAAGCATTTATTAGGTAAGGGTCGTTGTTTGAGTGCAATCCAGTGTCCTCAGCTGCCTCAGGCAAGCTTGTTTTCCAGAGCTGAGCTTTTTATTTACATCATTTATCTTATGTCTTTTCCTGGGAAGAAAACACAACGATGAAAGGTCTGAGTAAGGCTGAGGAAAAGGCCCAGCAGTATTATCATGCCTGCATGAATGAGGCCAAGATTGAGGAATTAGGACCTAAGCCACTACAGGAGCTAATCAGCCAGGTATGGTTATTCCCTAAAGCAGTCAAACATCTCATTCATCATTTTATCCTCTTTCATGTCTATTAAAGGAACCAATTTCCTTCCATCCAGTAGTCTGTGATCGTTTCTAACTAAACTCTGGCTGTTTCAGATAGGAGGATGGGCCCTGACCGAATCCTGGGACAAGGACAACTTCCAGGAAGTCTTGCGTTCGGTGTCAGCCAGCTATCGCACCTCGCCTTTCTTCACCGTGTTTGTCAGCACTGACTCCAAAAACTCCAACAGTAACATCATCCAGGTGAGAGGGTCAGCGATTTCCAGACAGGCCACTTTATACGCTTCCTCTGTTTGAACAATGGTGTGTATTTAGTGTAAAATCATATATTTACATCTCAGAAAGTGAAGCCTTTAATCACATCCCAGTAAATTTATATTGACGTTTAAGGTCATGCATCAAATTCCCTCCAACACAAGCAGCTTTTTACAAGCTTCCCTGAGGGGACTGATTTTTATCTCTGCTGATATTCTGGGGACAGTCTACTCATTATCACAGTGGTCTTGGTTTCACACTAACCGCTTGAAATGAGACATCGTTCCTTTGTAGGGTCATGAGACCGTAACAAATGGTGCTGATAGGATCTTTGGAGAGCTTCTGCTTTTAGCCTGCATGCTGGCACTAGAGGAATGAAAACAAAAGGTTTTTTGTGAGTGTTGGAAATAGAGGGTGAACCCGGAGTCATAAGGGTGTTTCTCTTGACTTTAGGTGGATCAGTCCAGCCTGGGACTACCTTCACGGGATTACTACCTCAACAAAACAGCAAATGAAAAGGTACTGTGGACAAATGGTTTACAGCATTACACTGGTTTCACTGCGGTCGAGCAAGTTGGACAGTAAAAGTAAAAGATATTTAAGCTCAAGTCGGGTAATTAAGTCAAGATTTTATGTAATGAGAACAAAGCAAATACTTGGAATTCAGCTATGAAAATCCCTAAAGGCTCATTGTAGGTTTTTGCAAAGAGAGCCAATAATATTAAGTATTTCAGCTTCAGGGGAAATACTCTGCATAGTAGCTTGTATTTGCATAGTTTAAGATTACTTTCCTAATTGAATTGTATCCCCAATAACACACCCCTTGTCTCCCCCAACCACCCTCCACCTCACTGTGCTGCCTACTTGGACTTCGCAGTATCTGACAGCATACCTCAGCTTCCTGGTGGAGCTAGGGGTTCTCCTGGGTGGCTCTGAGGAGACGTCTCGGACGCTGATGGAGGAGATCGTGGACTTTGAAACCGCCCTTGCCAACATTACAGTCCCGCAGGAGGAGAGGAGAGATGAGGAGCTCATCTACCATAAGATGGAGGCCAAGGACTTGAAAGTAAGTGTCTGCCTAAATAAAACAAATAAAACGGTATACAGCACTTATGTAGGACTTTATGTGAAATTATACATGTTTGTGTTCAGACTTCTCTCAACAACATGTCTGTAATCTGTGTTTTCGCAGACTCTTGTACCTGCAGTGGACTGGATGCCGTACCTCACAGAAGTGTTTGCTCCTGTTCCGCTCAACGAGTCGGAGCCAGTGGTTGTTTATGCCAAAGAATACCTCCAGAAAGTTTCTGACCTCATAACTAAAACAAATAAAAGGTCAGACACTTAATAGTTTTTTTCCCATGTTTGTGTCCAGTACAGATTGTATGTTGCTATGTCTGTTCACTCTCATTTATAATGATACAGTAAAATAAATAAGATAGAAAGTAGGAGGGAGTATTTACACTGTTTAATTAATATATACATGCATAAATCCTGAATGTTTAAGGCAGAGCAGCATTGGAGAGGGCAACAAAACAATGAATTTGACATTCTCCTTTCCAGCCTACTCAACAACTACATGATAATGAAGGTGGTGAGGAAGATGGTGTCCATTTTGGACCAGAGGTTCCAGGATGCCGAGCAGCGCTTTCTCGAGGTCATGTACGGAACCAAGAAGGTGAGAGATAAAAATTTTGGTATTTCACACTAATCCAGATTTACACAGATTTTAAGAGTTTAAACACAAAGTATGAGGCAGATAGAAAGTGATAAAAGAACAGCAACGTACTGTTTTACCTGCTGGCAGATTCTCAACCAGATAATGTATTTTTAGCATGTTTGTGAACTGAATACGTCGTCATTGTCTTGCTGCTTTTTGCATTAAACAAAGAGTTACCAGTCATAGAAGAAGTAGAGTGCAGTAATTTGTATTTGGGAGTGTATTTGGGCTTTTTTTAGAAGGCCAGTATATATACCAGCAGAGGAAGTGCCCCTAATTCCCAAAGCCAAACAGCTGGGTTTAGAGACCTTTTCACTTGACCTCTTGTTCTCGTGTATGACAGTTGGAAGAGGATTCATTGTTACAGAATGCAGAAAAATGGAAATTGGCACCAGGCAGAATTTTCCCTTCATCATGACAAGAACTGTAAATTATCACTTCTTAATGTTAGTTTTCCAACCTGATTTCTTCAACTTCACCTAAGGACAATCCTGGTTTCTTTAATTGGGGTGAGAGGTTTGAGAGAAAGAGAAATCTGTTTAAAACCGACACATTCCTGCTGGATTAACCTGATTTCTTGGCCTCATGCATCTTTTTCCGTCTTGATTCAAAGCATTAGATAGAAGAGAAATCTGATAACTGCAAAGTTGTACATAAATGTGAGTTTAAGACTAACCAGTTTACTGATTTACATATTACGGATTTACTAGGATTTTCTGCCTTAACATGATTTCTCTCAGTAACATCAGTTTTTCTATGTACATGTAATTTTAGTGAGTTCACCTAAATTACAAAAAAAAAAAAAACCTGTTTCTCATTTACTTACTTATTTTATAATTCAGGTAGTTTTTGACCTGAGGTTCTGGGCGCAGAGGTGAATGGAATTGTGTCGTTCAAGACATTGAATGTGTACATTTCAATAATTCAACAGCATTGTGACTGTGTATTGGCAAGAATCTGGTGATACTATACGATTAATATCAATATATATTGCGATTTATTTTCTTTTAACCTAATTTTAAGAAAATAGTTAAAGCATTACAATCGATAGTGTTTTTGAGAGTTGATACAATATCACAAGACAAAATATTGCGCCATGATATTTTTCGATATTTTCCTACACCCCTATTCAACAGTGGCACGTCTTTCCAGAAACAACATATTAGACCTACTTTCTACCGAAAAGGTAGTTCCAGTGAAAACTGTTCACAGAGTGGACTATCTGGTGGATTATCCAGAGTGACAATGCACCCTCATCATATTGGTATTAATCAAAAATAATCTGCAGTGCTCGATGCCACCACGCTATGGATGGATGAGAAAATTTCTTTTTTTTCTTGCAACTTGGATGAACTGAGCCTTTAATTAGACACACAGTTGAAGATTATGAAACTTGGCAGCAAGTTGTACTTCCCTCTAAGTAAGTAACTGACTGTGAAGGCTCCGCCGGTGACCCCCAGAGCTTATCTGAGCAAGCTGTAATAACAAAGCCAAAACTTTCTGTGTGCGCTTCTTTGTGTATCTGTTTTATGTTAAAAGTGCAGCTGTGTCTCTTTTTCCATCTGTGCCTATGTGCACAGATTTACAGCTTGCTCAGAATACTGCTCATTTCCTCACTCCGACCTTGTTTCCTCTTTATCTTCAAATGCACGCAGCTCCATTTGTCCTTGTCCTTCCTTTCACCTGATAATAGCTTTGATTTTTTTTTTCAAAACTTGCAGTCAGTGAATCAGCTGTTTGAGATTCAAATTTTTAAGTTAAGATATAAAATCATTGTTTAAAGATAGATGGAGACTAGGCTTTTGAGAATAGATACTACGTGCATTTGTGTGTTCATGATATTCCAAAAATTACTTAATTTTCAAATTTTAGATTTAACAAGATCTACAAAATGATGCCACACCTCCAGAGTATTGTATATAGTATTATTGAGTCACTGTTATGAGTTCATTCTGTCTCAGAGGTGTTTTGGGTGAAAGACTAGTTTCTAGTTCATGACTCTCATACCGTATTTTGATTATTAACAGGGTTAACAGTCCTAGTGGCCGTGATCCTTGGGGTCCATTTGTAATTGAAACCACCAGGCACTTGTAGAGTACACATTGCAGTTAAATCCCAGGGGGAACACTGTGCGTCTCACAAAGAGTGAGAGTCCCAATTGAGCAGCCAAATAATAATAATACTTCTTAAAACCAGGTAGTTGAAGACCACCCAGTTTATGGTCCCATGTCCAGACCACAAACACATTTTTTATCATAAAAACTGCAGACAAATAAAGTAATTTGCGGTTTTTGGAGGAAACATTTTGGTTT